GTAACTGTATTCCGTTACAGTTACCGTTTAAAAAGGTGGTATTCAGAATACAGTTACTTTGTTGAAATAAATGGATTACACGGCGGTACTTCCCTGTTTCATGTTGTGGCGGGTCAGGACTGTTTGGGTTTGTTTGACAGCTACGTTCTGTTGTTCCAGGCGGCAGCTTACGGTTGCCATGGTTACAGGGTGAAGCTCTCTCTCTCTGCGTGTTTCCTGGGTGAGAGAGGCCTTTTTGTTGTTGTTGTGCTAAGCTAACAGGCAGAATGCAGCCTGATGAGCAGTGTAGTCTGTGCTGCAGGGAGAATGGACTGCTGTACCCGTTATGTGTCTGTGAGCGAGGAGGGAGAAAAAGGAAAAGTACGAGCTGTCACGGAGCAGAAACAGGAGCTGGAAGCATGTAAATATAATAATAACCACTGCAGCCAAACAGAGCGCCTGATGAGCCCAGCTGTAAGTAAGCTGTTAAGACTCGACTGTACGCTGTGTTCGTGTTTCCTCTGAAACAATAAGCTCCGTTGGAGCCTTTCAACGCCTCTCTCTGTCTCTGGCAAGCAGAGTTGATCCAGACAACAAAGTAAAGCTAGTTTTCAGCTACGAGCCCGACACGAACCCGTATTAGTCCCTTCAGTAATAGTAATAAATCACATTCACGTAGTTGTAAACAGCATGATAATATGTTAAGTAATCCAAAGTATTCAGAATACGTTACTCTCATTGAGTAACGTATTCTGAATACGTTACAGAATACATTTTAGGGCATGTAATCTGTAATGGAATACATTTTAAAAGTAACCTTCCCAACACTGCCTGTAAATATACTGCACGTATGCAGCCCTGAGTACCACCAACAGTTCTGGAACTCTAACTAAACAGACGCCTTTAGAGGCGGTCCTGGGGCGGCTGACACACTATTGATCGAGTAGCCTGCACCCCTACCCACTCGAACTCTGCGTTCCTCCAGTAAGATGCTTTTACTGGTCCCACACTCCCAGTTAAAATCCATAGGTGATGAAGGCTTTCTCCACCGCTGCTCTGAGACTCTGCAACAGTCTTCCCTCCCTCTTATATATACACATGTATAGACAAGTGTGTATGTATGTGGATGTTTAATCACGAGATAAATAATTGACCTCATTCATCTTCATTCTTTCTTGTATTTGATTAGATTGTCCCTCTGTTCAGCACTTTGGCCGACACTTGATGTCTTTAAACATGCTATACAAATAAAGCTGACTTGACAGTGGACACGGTGAGTTTGTGTTTGGGAGGCTGAGGCTGAGGTGCACTGGGATGTCGTGCTTGGAGTTTCAGTTCTCAGGTCTCCAAAGGTTTAAACCTGTTACCCACAGCCTGTCACACAATCACCCTGTTTCCATTTCTTTAGCTGAAATGATGAAAAATGCAAAGATAACACAGTTTGACATAAAATAGTATTTTTACTCCAACAAGGTGTTTCCCAAAGAGCTGTTAGCGGTAAACTCTCTGGGCTGTGTGTCCTCGGATATCTGAGGAGACAAATGGAGGACATCTCCTGTTTGCTGAGGACTGATGGGTTTGCTGATGGGAATTGATAAGAATTTAGCGATTAAGATTCCATTATGGATATCACTTATCGATCCTCACTGGCTGCGCTTCTGGAGCCATTCTAACCTTACGGCTGATACTGCAGTGCTGGTCGTTGTGTTCCCATCGATGTTTCTGAGAAACGTCTGGTTCTGCAGACTGAACCTGATCCTGAAGGACACACCGACCTCAGAGCTGAACCAGGATCAGTTTCCTCCTCCCATCCATTTACACACATCTGGGAATTTGCTGTGTTTTAGTTTCATACTTTCAGTAAAGGTGGAGGTCAGACGTCGCTCTGCCTCCGACTCTCAGTTACATGTGTTAGTGCAGGAAGAGCGTGGTGAAGCCGGCGGTCCATAAACACGACCTGATGATGAGGAAAAGGAAGATGGTTTATAAGCATTTAAACATTGTTACTGAGCAGAATGAACACGGCGGTGATGGTCTGTGAACTCTGAGGACATACCTCAGGGTCAAAGTAGGGCTGGGCGATATATCGAGTTTTTTAAAAATATCTATATATTTTTATACGAGATATAAGATGTGACAATATCGTTTATATCGATATAGTCTATGTTACGTTATAATTATAGTTGTGGAGCCACAAGTTTGCCTCTCTTTCGTCCACTTTTGTCTCTACGCAACGTTACTCGGCCTCGCCTCTCCTTTACTGAACACAACTCCCCCTCCTCCCCCATCGCTTCACCTGCAGGCAGCGACAAGATGGACACGGCAAATCTCCGTTAACGAGTTACTGCGGATCGCCCCGTGCGTGGGGCTGGACGGCGTCAACATGTTAACGAGCTAACCACGCTAACGCCATGCACGGCCTGAAATCCTTTCATTTTCTCAAAAATCGACAGCACGCCTTATGTATGAATTCTGGTTGTGCTTGATGACCGCGAACCAATTTTCTGTGGAGCACGGCGCTCAGCAATCTGTTAAAAAATATTTTAGTTCGACTTTGCTACGGAGCTGCAGCAGCTTGATGGATTGTCGGAGCATTACGGCTGCCGAGGAGCCTTGCGGAGTGATACGTACTGTGCTTCAACATAATATTACCGTATTGTTTGTGTATAAGGACCATAAATGGCACCTGTTAAGAGACACGGTTATGAAGCGGATTTCAAACTCCAGGCTGTCAGTCACGAACTGTGAAATCTTTGTTATTATGCTCAGCGTCTTTTCGTTTACATTTTGACTGCACAATTGTGAGCTCTTTGTTATGCACAAAAACAACATCGTTTTCTTTTATTTATGGAACATTATTATTTAATAAATGCTCATAATTTATGTTTGAGTAGTTTTTTCATGTACATCTGTGCTGTATGTTAATAAAACAGCTTTGACTAAGAACTCTCTTTTTGTTCTTACTTTATGGCTTTAAAAAAATATCGAGATATGAGTTTTGGGTCATATCGCCCAGCCCTAGGTCATAGGTCACAGTGTTGTGTGCAAATGAAGAAACAGGTCGATGAGAAGAAGAACTACAAGTACACATTTTATTGTGCTGACAGTGGTGTGTGTGTGTTTCAGGTGACCGTGTTGATCTACACTGACCTGCTGCTACTTACCAGAGAGGATGAAGCTGGACGCTGTAACGTCCTGCAGAGTCCGGTGTTCCTGAACACATTGAAGCTCAGAGAGGGTAATGCTGCGTTCACTGTCATCTCTGAGCATCGGTTTTTCTCTGTAACCTACAGCTGGCAGGTTTCTGTTTAATGTCAGAACACATTGTTGTAATCCACATTTGATTTTCATTTCCTGGTTCGTTGTCAGCTGATTGACCAAGTAAAGTATCCACAGCACTATAACCTGTTCAATTTAACTTTATTTATACAGCACCAAATCACAACAACAGTCGCCTGAAGGCGCTTTATATTGTAAGGTAGACACTACAATAATACATACAGAGAAAAACCCAACAATCATGAGCAAGCACTGTGGCAACAGTGGGAAGGAAAAACTCGCTTTTACAGGAAGAAACCTCAGGGAGGGGCGGGGCCATCTGCTGCAACTGGTTGGGGTGAGAGAAGGAAGACAGGATAAAGACATGCTGTGGAAGAGAGAGAGATTAATAACAGATATGATTCAGTGAAGAGGACTCTCCATTTACATGCACAAACTGGAGTCTATTAGACAGATATGATACAAACCACTGCAGCGCAGTACCTGTAATACCTACAGCATGTTCTAATCGCTCTAATAGGATATTATGGTCGACAGTATCGAACGCTGCACTGAGGTCTAGCAGGACAAGCACAGAGATGAGTCCACTGTCAGAGGCCATAAGAAGATCATTTGTAAGCTTCACTAAAGCTGTTTCTGTGCTGTGATGAGCTCTCAGGTGCTGCAAGTATTTTTTTTAAGGTGGACAGAAACACGCGTGTATTCATTTCCACCACAGAGCCGTGCTCCCACACTGTCACAGGTTTGCAGTTAATGACTATGTTGTTTCCACTCACACTGCTGACCCGGTCCCGTTTCAGCTCGCTCTTTACCTGTTTCCATATCTCAGAGTGTAGCAGCCAATCAGAGCACAGGATTTGACGTTTCTCTGTGTGTGTGTGGCAGCTCTGTCGGAGCCGCTCCACCTGTACTTCCTGCAGAGCGCTCCGAGCCGCCGCCGCCTCTTCAGCCTGGAGGCGTTCAGCATCGAGCAGAAGGTCCGAGTCAGCCTGTGTCTCCACGATAACATCCAGCTGCAGCTCGTCACCACGGAGGCCACACACACCCAGCAGGTACAACACCTGTGCAGGTAGTCACAGAAAGCAGGAAGAGGGCCAGTTCACACGTGTGTCCAGCAGAGGTCGCCAAACACATGAAATACTCAAAGCTTTTCCCACACAATTTAAGTCCTCTCCTCCTCCTCCTCTTCCTCCCTCCAGCTGTCAGACCTCCCCTCAGACTTTGGCTTCCTCTCTCTCGGGCAGTCTGACCCCCTCTATTGTCCTTCATCTCCTTACTCTTCGCTCTGTGACTCCCTTAGACCTCCCTCCCCATCTTCTTACTCCCCCAGTGCTCCCTTCTCCTCCTCCACTCTTCCTCCTGCTCCCGTCTCCCTTCTCTCTCCCTACTCCTCCTCACCACCTTCCAGGAACATCATCTCCTCAGCTCAGCTCCTCCCTTCACCTCACCGTCCCTCCTCCACTCTAAGGAGTCCTATCTGGATGGAGAGAGCAGGAGCAGAAGAGGAAGAGGAGAGGAGGAAGAGGAGACGGGAGGAAGAGGAGGTGGTGGAGCGGCAACAGGGGGAGGGGGAGAGTGCCTCAGAGACTTCAGAGAACGCGGGTGGTGTCGGGGGGCGGGGCTTCCTGCTCAGCCCTCACCACTTTAACATGAACCAGGAGAGTGACCGTGACGAGGAGGAAGAGAAATTTATCTTCAGACCACCAGGTGAGTTCAAGTGCTCTGAAAGAAAGTCAAAAGTCTTGAGTTGGGGGAGTGGAGGATGTGAGGTAAGCAGGATGAAGCTGGTTTAGAGCCGCTGCAGGTGGAAACGTTCCCAGTTTGATGGATTTTCTCCTGTTTCAGTCCTACGTCGCTCGCTCTCCGAGGGTTCTCTGCTGCGAGAACCTCAATCGCCCCACTTCCTGTCCGACAGCACCATCCACCGCCTCACCCGTCCTGTGAACTTTGACCTCAGCCCCAACTCGAGCCCCGCCTCCCGAGCCCCCTCCCCCCACACTCTGAGGAAGCAGCTGACCGGAGAGGGGGGGTCTCTGCACCAAATGCTGATGCTGCTCAACGGGACCAAGGTAGGGACCAGAACCGGCTTTGACCACAGAACCGCGAACCAGCGTCATGTGACCACACAACGCATAGCAGCAGGTTGATCATTGTGCTGCATGTCAGAGTTAGCCCCAGGCAAACGGGGCGACTGCACCAGGACGGCATCTGGTGTCAAATCAGACGTGCAAATCGTCAATAAGACAATCGACAAGCTGATTGGTTGAGGCCCAGGTTAATGACGAGTGTAAAAGGGAGATTTACTGTGGGAGTAGTTTGAACACGTGCAGAGGAAGATCCTGGGGTTAGAGACCGGTACAGCTCGGGTTCTTCGGTTCTAACAAAGTGTTTTTGTTTGTTTTTCAGGCTGGAGAACCCAGAAACCGACAGCTGAAGAAGAAAACTCTGTACGTAAACAAGCACACTGTTGTTTTGTCTGGTGTTGTTTCCTCTCGCTCTGATTGGTCCTCGTTGTCTCCTCAGAGCAGCTGATGTTCGGAACCGCCTGGCGTTTCTGCGAATGTGGAAAAATGGCGCTGGTGTCCATGGAAGCAGTTTGGAGAAAGCGCTGAAAAATAACAGGTAGCATCGGACCTGAACCCGAACTAGACTCACCTGCAGGTCAGGAAAGGCAGCAGATTATCACAGGTCATAACTAATCAGAGTAAAATCTCCAGGTGATCACGGCCAAGCATGTCGGTGTTTCTGCCCTAACAGCAGTGGTGTGGAGGTGACATCACAGTCTGAATGAAGCTCGACTTCAGAGCCTCTGGTGGATGTTAGAGGAAATGCAGGTTTTCCTGAGATGCGTTTGTTTTGTTTTCCAGACCGTCTGCAAAGGAGGTGCTGAGGTGGGTGGAGAGTCTGGAGTCCCTGCTGTCCAATCAGTGTAAGACTTCCTGTTTGTGTTTAACCAATTTAACCAATAAGGGGAGGAGCCAGCATGAGAAACGCCTCTCCACTAGATTAATGTCTTGATGCATGCTCAATCATCCAGGTAAGTAGATTGAGGTTGATTGTGTTCACCTGGACGTTTCAGTGGGAGAAACGTTTCATCGCTCATCAAGTGACGAACCAACAACTATTGATCAGAGACCACTGATCAGTGATTGATCAGTGGTCTCTGATCAATAGTCATGACACTTTGCATATTAATGATCACAAGCTGACCTCCCAGCCCATTGTTCATTCAGTGCTGCTTTTTTCAGTCATTGTGCAAATGTCAAATTTGTATTTGTCACACACACAGCCATACACAGTATGACATGAGGTGAAATGCTTGTAGCTGTGCAATGCCCGACCATTAGATGACAGTGGTTTTACAGTATTTACAATTTACAGGTTATTACAAAATTTACAGATTTAACTTAGAAATTTACAGTAAAAATGTGCAAATAGCAGAAAGAGATTATAAATTATAGGAAGTGTTCATGAAGAAAAACCAGAGTGCGTGTGGTGATGTGATGTGTGGGAGAGTCCAGTCCTACACCTGGTTCAGGGCCGAATAGCCTGGGGGAAGAAGCTCCTCCTCATTCTCTCTGTTTTGGCCTTAAGGGAGCGGAAGCGCTTCCCAGACCTCAACAGTGAGAAGAGTCCTTTGTTGGGATGGTCCATCATGATCTTCCTAGCTTTGGTCTTGCAAATGTCCTGTTTATAAGGTTGAGACCTGCAGTCAGCTGAGACTGAAGACATCCCCTGATGATGATGATGAAATATTTCTCCCATTGAAATGTCCAGATGGACAGGATAAACCTTTTGGCACCAGATTAATGGCGTGCTTCTCTTTTCTAATTGGTCAGATGGTCTGACGGTGTTCCGTCACTTCCTGAGGTCAGAGTTCAGTGAAGAGAACCTGGACTTCTGGTTGGCTGTGGAGAGGTTTAAAAAGACACGTCCCTCCAACAAGATGGCTGCCAGAGCTGCAAAAATCTACGACCACTTTATTTCTACGACTGCATCGAGACAGGTACCATGTGTCTGAGCTCCGATTGATGTGTGTTTTTTGGTTGTTTTTTTCCTAATATGGTGATGAAGCATTCCTCCAACGATGATGTCGTTACAGTCCAGAGGCTCAGTTAAATTCATACCTGAAACCATCAGGTTGTTTACTTTCATCATCATCATCATCATCATTTATTTATTTATATAGCACTTTACACCTGGTAGACCAAAGTGCTGTACAATACTAATACGCACATAGTAATAAAACCAGACATAGCAATAAAGTTAAAAAACAATAAAAAATAAAAATGTCAGTTACCCACAGAGTTAAAAGCCAGGGAATAAAAATAGGTTTTTAATAAAGACTTAAAAACTGGCACTGATGCAGCCTGTCTAATATGGAGAGGAAGGTTATTCCAAAGCATCGGCGCTGCAACATAGAACGCTCGGTCTCCTCTAAGTTTCAGCCGTGACTTTGGGACCGAAAGCAGCAACTGCTCAGCTGACCGAAGGGAACGAGTGGGGACGTGGGGCTTCAACAAGTCAGACAAACAAACAGGTGCCAGACCATTTAGAGATTTAAAAGCCAATAAAAGGACTTTAAAACGGATCCTGAATTCAATTGGAAGCCAGTGTAAAGAGGCCAAAATCGGAGTGATGTGATCAAATTTTCTTCTACCAGTTAAAAATCGTGCCGCAGCATTTTGCACTAATTGCAAGCGTGACAAAGTGCCCTGCCCAACCCCTGTTAAAAGAGAATTACAATAATCTAAACGTGAGGTAATAAAGGCATGAATAACGCTTTCCAAGTCACGCTTGGAAAGAAAGGGCTTAACCTTTGATAAACGTCTGAGGTGATAAAATGCTGATTTTACCACCCCGTTTACATGGTCATCAAAGGTGAGTGCAGAATCAATTTTAACTCCGAGATTTGTGATCGAACTCTTTGGTTGGGAAGTCAAAGCTGCAAGATCAACATCCAGAGTATGAGAAGAACGATTTGGGCCAAATAAAATTGCTTCTGTCTTCCGATCATTAAAATTTAAAACGTTTTTTGCCATCCATGCGTTGACATCAGTAAGGCAGTCAAGCAGAGGTCCAGTTGGGAGACTATCAGAATGACTAAAAGGTAAGTAGAGCTGGCAGTCATCTGCGTATAGATGGAATGGCACTTTATGCTTTCGGAAAATCGAAAGCTTTATTGATCGTTGTATTAAAGTAAAGACTTGTAATCAAACATGTTGGTCCACCTGCTCATTTGACACAGCTGCTTTTTTTCAAGGTCAATGTGGACTCTGCCATCAGAGAGGCAACCAATCAGAGCCTGCGCCTTGGCGTTAGCTCCGCCTCCTTCCAACTGGCGCAGGAGCAGATTTTCAACCTGATGGAGACGGACAGTTACCCACGATTCCTCAAGTCCCGCCTCTACACCCAGCTGGCCAGTCACAACACAGAGCAGCGGATCCGACCAACCAGAGACGAGGGGTTGATCTGAGCTTCTGACTGGCTGAACAAATCTCTCAGTAGCATTCTGGGAGATGTAGTATTGAGTGTTTTGGGACATTTACCCTTTTCATGTTAAACAACTTGATTCTTACGCTAATCTTCTTTTTTTGCTGATCTTTGTTTATCTAAAAACATTTAACCCGTCCGTGTGAGAAAAACATGGCCTCTGACCTTGAGCTTGAAATGAGATGCCATCTTTAGACTGTTAGGTGTTATCCTTTATGCCTTCTCGTGACCCAGGTGAAGCCTTGCTCACAGGTTAAACATCGGCAGGACTTTCAGCCTCGGCTGCATGTCGTTGATTCCAGAGCAGACTCTGATTCATGTTTTTAGCTAACGGCTAACTCATGTATCTCTGATTAAAGCTGACTGATGTCACATCAGGTGTCAGACCTCCTGTTTCCTCTTCTGTGACTCCCCTCCATCCAGCAGGAAGTCTGACACCGGCAGGCTGCACAGGTGAAGCAGGTTGAGTGACGGATTCACCTGCTGCTGTTTGATTATCACACTGAACAGTTTTAACTGATTCAACAATAACCTGAAAATCTAATAAAACAGACCAAATGACCTCGAAGTTCATTATTTAGTCTTTAAGTCGTGATAACAGAGCGCAGACTTCAGCTGGTGCTTCCTACGGTTCAGGTTCTCAGTGATGGAGACCAGGTGTGTGCAGGTGGAGCAGCACCTGCTGGTATCTGGCTGTCAGAGGTGTTTGAAATCACTTTTTTGTAATGAGTGCTGAGAGTACTGAAGATAATTCCACCAGTCGAGGTGTTGAATCTTCACAGTCCACAGGAAATGAAATGAAGGTGGTGTCTTTACAAACGTGAACTCCACCTTTAATGGATGCAAAGAGTCTGAAAGAGATGCAGCAAACATGCCAAACCATAATTCATGTATATAGCACTTTAAAACAGAACCAGAACCTTTGTCATGATACACCGACACAGATCATCGTAACTACACCTTGTGAACAAACCTTTGAGTCGGTCACTTGTAGTTTTACGTCTTCATTTCTTCCCTTTGTTTGATTTCCTTTTTTGTTTTTGCGTGAAATATTTTAAATGCCCATTTTTGTATTTGTTTGTCTTAATGAGGGTGTTTCTGTGTGTGCGTGGTTGGGTACCTCCCCGTCCAGGTGTTGGTGGCATCCTTCCTCGCTGCTCACTGAGAGAGGAGCTCTGAGGAGGCGATGAGAGGCTCACATCCAGCTGCAACAGGAACACAATCATTGGCGTTTCTGTTGAAGCACCTGTGTGGACACGCCCATCAAGTTTGTCTTTTCATCATTCCCAATAATTAGACGCAGAGCACCATAAAGAGGAGGCCTGAGCAAGTTTTATTTTGGAGGAGCAAAGTGAATCGTAATATCACTGATGACTCAATAAACACATTAATGCAGGACATGGAGAAATTAATGCAGGCAGTTATTTATTCATTTATTGATGATCCTCCATCGATTCATTTATTCACATTGATTCTTACTCTGCTGATCACATCAAACAGAGACACACTGAGAAGACGTTTTATTAGAGACGACAAACTCGCATACATCAGACGCTCCGTCCACCACAGAAGAAGAGGAAGACAAAGTCGCTGTCTGTTTCTACCCGGCCAGAATGTGTTTGACAAACTCGGTGTAGTTGATGTGCCCATTGGCGTCCTCCTGTCCCGCCATCAGACGATCCACCTCATCCTCAGTCATCCTTTCTCCCAGCGTGGCGAGGACGTGGCGGAGCTCCGCCCCCATCACCGTGCCGTTTCCCTCCTTGTCAAAGACCCTCAGCCCCTCCACAAAGTCCTCAAAGTTGCCCTGCTCTTTGGAGCGGGCCACATGCTGCTGCATGGGCAGGAAGCTGTCAAAGTCCAGCAGCTTGACATTCAGCTCCTCCGCCTTCGGCCTCCCCAGCAGTTTCAGCACTTCCTCGTTGGTGGGGTTGTGTCCCAGCGCCCGCATAACATCGCCGCACTGAGCGTAGGTGATCTTCATCTCGCCGGCTGGCGTCTCGTCGAACAGAGCGAAGGCGTCTTTGAACTCCTCGATCTGGTCGGGGGTGAACTCCACCACGATGCTCTTCAGGTCCACCTCGGGGGGTTTTGGCTCCGGCTCCGCGGGCTTTGCTGGAGGAGGAGGCTCTTCCTTCTTTGCCTCCACCTTCTTCACCTCTGTCTTTTTCGGTTCCACTTTCTTTGGCGGCATGTTGCTGCAGAGCACTGGCGGTGGAGATGGAAAGTGACTGTCTGGTGTTTTATAGGAGCCAGCGGTGGGCTGAGCGAGCCAGGAGCAAATGGCAGGGAGGAGAGAGGAGGCGACCAAAGATGGAAGAAACCTGGAATGGAAACACTGAGAGGAGATAAGAGGCTGCAGATAAGAAGCTTCCAGAAGCAGCAGAGCCAGTCTGAACCGGAGCCTCTGACCTCTCCTCAGGCCTCCATCAGTGAAAACCACCTCCTCCTTCACATACTCTGGGATCTTTTCTGTTTCCTGCTAATCAATAGTTTTTAGCGCAGTTTCACAGCGCAGCTATCCTCTGCATCAATCTGTGAAGTAATCTCTGCATACCAGGCCCTTAATTTTGAATTACATTCTGGATTTATCTGCAAAGAGAAGCCAATCTAGGAGAAATCTGCTCTCTCTGTCTGCCTTGGATTAACTGCAAATGGAAGAACGCAGTCTTACATATTTGTTTAATATGTGCATTGAAGGACATGTCCTGGTCAAAAATGACTCCAAGGTTCCTCACAGTGTTACTGGAGGCCAAGGTAATGCCATCCAGAGTAAGAATCTGCTTAGATACCATATTTCTAAGCTTTTCAGGGCCGAGTACAATAACCTCAGTTTGATCTGAATTAAGAAGCAGAAAGTTAGCGGCCATCCAGGTCTTTATGTCTTTAAGACATTCCTGCAGTTTAACTCATTGGTGTGTGTTATCTGGCTTCATGGACAGATAGAGCTGGGTGTCATCTGCATAGCAGTGTAAATGTATGCTATGTCTTCTAATGATGCTGCCTAAATCAGGGGCATCAAACATGAACGAGCTGAGAGCCGCTGCTGTCGTCTCATTGGAGCCACTTTAGTGTTCAAGTACAAAACAAGAAAACAGACACAAATAATTCTGAAAATGTTTTGTTTGTTTTTTTACATTTCAAATCTTGTATAAGACGACTGTGCCTGTTCAACTTACCTCCATCATTAACCTCAGTGCGCAGTACCTGTGATACCTGCAGCTGCTTTAATCGCTCTAATAAGATTTTATGGTCGACAGTATCGAACGCTGCACTGAGTTCTAGCAGGATGACCTGTGACAGGTATAATTTCAGGTGAATCAGCTACACAAACATCACTGTGCTTCATAACAGGAGCAGGGAGTGCTGCAATACTGAGTGAGCACCATCACCACGTGAGAGCGCCACCTAGACAGACACTGAGGAGGAACCAGTTCTCTACATCAGGTTAAACACAGGCTGTAACACCACCTCCCCTCCGTTTTTATCTGCGGCCCTTTCAGTTCAGTTTATTTGTGTCTCGTTATCTCTGAGGTGATGTGGCCTCATGTGTCATTAACATTCCAGCTGTGATAAGAGGCGATGTCCCATGATGCTCTCTGTGTCCTTCAGTCTGGAAATAACTGCGCAGCTGCAGCTTGGCTTCATCTTTCACGCTAAGCTGATCACAGAGGTTTAAAATCCATGAATGAAGCAGATGTTTGATCACAGCAGCACAAACAACGTTGTGTTTTCAAACTATAACTTTAATCTCCAAACACTTTAATGAAACATCCACCAATGAGACATGTAGGATACAGTCATGTGACACACAGCAGGAACCCAGAAGTTCAATGTGATTCACGATCCATGAACATATTGATTCACAGATGAGACATTAAAGAGGGTGGAGTCAGCGCTGCTTCAGTCTGCGACACCATCAGCATCTGACACAGATATCAATCAATCAATGAATTACTGATCAATACCGTCCTCACAGAGATTATTATCAATAAGTATCATTAACCACCTGGTGGATCTTTGAGAAGCCATCTCTCTCTGATGGCTGAGCTCAATAAAAACCCTAAAAATCATACATTTCACAGCGGAGCTTCTCATTGGAGCAAAGCAGCAGCATCACCAGGTCAGGTGAGCAGACCTGTCAGGACGAGAGGGCAGTCTTAACCTTTATTTCTTCAGGTTTGTTCACATTTTTCTGTGAGCTCACCTGAAGATAGAATCACTAAAATGAAACTTTAATGGTTTTACTTTAAAGTTTTGGTCGAGTCCAGTCGAGGAAGATGGCTCCGGTTCAGTAAGAACACCAGTTTCTCTGGCAGCCATCTTCACTGTTGTCCTGCTTTGCGATTGGTCTGTACCTGCTCCTGGAAGCTCATAGCCTGATGGACATCTCGGGGGAATCCATCCACAACAAAGCCTCGGACATCCTGCTGACCAATCAGCTGCTGCCTCAGCTCAGAGACGGTGTCCTCCTGCAAGCAGAGACACAGGTGACTTACCTGAAGTAGGCTCAGGGATCAGGTGTGATGGATGCTGGCTCTGACCTGTGGTCCTAGCTCTTCGTGACTCATCACCTCCCACCTCCTGCTGGGAGAGGCATTGCATCGCAGCTGCTGCTTGAGCAGCTCGTCCAATGAGATACCTCAGAATCCAAAGTGGTCGGTTAGCCTTGCCGTCTGACTTCCCTTCCCACTCCCCTGATTTCTAGAATCGATTCGATTCCAATTCACCAGGTCCCGAATCGATTCGATTTGAATCGATTTGAATCGATTTGAATCGGGGAAATTTTGCCTCTATCAAAAATATTATGATTCTGTTCACGTATCAGTACGTTTCCATATTTTTATATCTATAAAAAGAAAGCTGACACTTGCGAGACTTAATAAAAGGTGTGAGCATCACAGCAGAGGCCTTTGTGTCAAAGTCACTGAGGATCAAACACAGAAAAACATGAAGGCGACTTTCCTGGCCTGGATTTTACAGCAGATAACCTTAAAATATTCTGCAGTAGAACAAAAACTGAAGAAAACCATGAATCAACACATGAACATTACCTGATGCTGCTGAAGTGAAGCAGAGCAAAGTCACAGAGGTTTGATTACAGACACAGCTGAGCGTTTTGCAATTTTGCATAATTTTAAAAAGTATAAATTTGTTCAGTATTGAAGAGCAGAAATGAGGCTTTGTTTTTGGAAGGAAGTACAAGGAAAGACAACGTTGGCCGACAGCCTGTAAACAACGGTAGCCTGGTGCGTAACAAGCAAGCGAATAATGCAGGAAACAGACACAGAGAAAGAGACAGAGACAGAGAGACAGAGAGACAGAGAGAGAGAGA